TTTTGATTCTGAGACAAACGCTGCATCTGTGTTTTACAGTTTTTATGTTATTTATGTAAATGTTCAAACACATGACACGAGCCTCGTTTCCACCGTTTACTCTACTCCATAAAGATTTAGTATTTAGTAGTACAGAGAAATTCCTGGGTAACCACGGCTTCCAGGAGCACTCTGTCCAGTCACTGTCAGTTAGAACACTTTAGTACCAGCTCGGCCTGGAGAGAACCAGGACTAAAGATGGACCTGGTACTGGTTACACTGGGTAGGGTTGGGTAGAGTAGAGTAGGGTAGGGTAGGGTAGAGTAGGGTAGAGTAGGGTAGGGTAGGGTAGAGTAGGGTAGGGTAGAGTAGGGTAGGATAGGGTTGGGTAGAGTAGGGTAGGGTAGAGTAGGGTAGGGTAGAGTAGGGTAGGATAGGGTTGGGTAGAGTAGGGTAGGATAGGGTTGGGTAGAGTAGGGTAGGGTAGGGTAGGGTAGAGTAGGGTAGGATAGGGTTGGGTAGAGTAGAGTAGGGTAGGGTAGAGTAGGGTAGGATAGGGTTGGGTAGAGTAGAGTAGGGTAGGGTAGGGTTGGGTAGAGTAGAGTAGGGTTGGGTTGGGTAGGGTAGGGTAGAGTAGGGTAGGGTAGGGTAGGATAGGGTTGGGTAGAGTAGGGTAGGGTAGGGTAGGGTAGGGTAGGGTGGGGTACAGTAGGGTAGGTGGAAACGGGGCTCTGGTCTTTGGGACACAGTGTGATTCATGATTTAAAAAGATTTGTCTAAATTTCAACTTCAATTGAAATTCTTCGCTTTTTGACTCAAACCAAGAATATTTTAATATTTCGATATATTTTTAACATGTGTCTTATTACAAGTAGGAACATACCTTAAAGCTCGGGTACCTAACTTTCAGATCTCATGCACACTAGTTCCAGGCTCTAGAACTGTTTTGGTTTGATTCAGGACTCAGTATTTTTGCCTCAGTCACGTCTTTAAATCAGCCTTTTCAGAAAAGTGACAAAGAGAGCACCCCCCTCTCTCGACCAATCAGCTCTCAGCCCAAAGCATCAAATAGTGACTCACAGGGATCTCTCTCACACACAAAGGATATGCGTTTTCTAATGAGATCAAGACAGCATGGCCCGATTCAAACATTTAACCGACTATAGGGACAAAAACGTGTATTATTTATGGTGAAAAACGCAGGTACCCCAGCTTTAATTCAAGCTGTTTCTGGAAAATTGTCTGAAATGTTGTGTGCAATGTTAAGCCTGAAATTGTCTACACTTTTTGCACATAAACCGACCGTGTGGAGGCTGTCGGCTGGGGTCACGGCTGGGGTCACGGCTGGGGTCACGTGCCCTGGAAGAGAAGGGTCGTCCCTGATTTCCCCTTCGCCTCTAAAATTCCCAGTGCGTTGTTCAGGACGGTCTGGAGCGCCGTTCGTCACGACTGCGTTCTCGTTGGTTTTAACATTTTGCTGCTGGAGGTTTGACTTTGAAGTGCCATTTTAGTTTGATTTATTTTGAAAGAACATTGTAACGAGAGAAACTGCAGCAGTTTAAAAGTGTTCAAATAATAAACTACAAATGTGAAAGTGCGGTTTCCGTTGTCTCTATGGTCTCTCCGGTCTGTGTTAAAAAACTAAACAATAGTAAAAACAAAAACCTGCAAACTAACAGACACAAAAAGGAAGACAAAAATTCCAACAGTGTCTGTGTTAGCATGTAGCATCTGTGTACAGTCAGTATTAGCATCGTCCATCTGTATACAGTCTGTGTTAGCATTGTCCATCTATATACAGTCTGTGTTAGCATTGTCCATCTGTATACAGTCTGTGTTAGCATTAGCATTTGTATACAGTCTGTTAGCATGTAGCATCTGTATACAGTCTGTGTTAGCATTGTCAATCCGTATACAGTCTGTGTTAGCATGTAGCATCTGTATACAGTCTGTGTTAGCATTGTCCATCTGTATATAGTCTGTGTTAGCATTGTCCATCTGTATATAGTCTGTGTTAGCATGTAGCATCTGTATACAGTCTGTGTTAGCATTGTCCATCTGTATATAGTCTGTGTTAGCATTGTCCATCTGTATACAGTCTGTGTTAGCATGTAGCATCTGTATACAGTCTGTGTTAGCATGTAGCATCTGTATAGTCTGTGTTAGCATGTAGCATCTGTATACAGTCTGTGTTAGCATTGTCCATCTGTATACAGTCTGTGTTAGCATGTAGCATCTGTATAGTCTGTTAGCATGTAGCATCTGTATAGTCTGTTAGCATGTAGCATCTGTATAGTCTGTTAGCATGTAGCATCTGTATAGTCTGTTAGCATGTAGCATCTGTATAGTCTGTTAGCATGTAGCATCTGTATAGTCTGTGTTAGCATGTAGCATCTGTATACAGTCTGTGTTAGCATTGTCCATCTGTATACAGTCTGTGTTAGCATTGTCCATCTGTATACAGTCTGTGTTAGCATGTAGCATCTGTATACAGTCTGTGTTAGCATGTAGCATCTGTATAGTCTGTGTTAGCATGTAGCATCTGTATACAGTCTGTGTTAGCATGTAGCATCTGTATAGTCTGTGTTAGCATGTAGCATCTGTATACAGTCTGTGTTAGCATGTAGCATCTGTATACAGTCTGTGTTAGCATGTAGCATCTGTATATAGTCTGTGTTAGCATGTAGCATCTGTATAGTCTGTTAGCAGCACAAACCAGGCCTCCGTATGTTGGTCTATCCATATGCTTTATTGTGCGTCACAGAACAGTTTTAAATATGAACACATCAACGACTCCACAAACTATCGCAGCAGTTACATTTCCATAAACTTCTCTTTAGCAAACGTCCTCAGAGCGTCTGCGTTTGTCCACCTCAGAGTCCGGTCTGTGTGAGGTCTCAGGACTCGCTCTGGTCATGCTGAAGATCCAGGTCCTGAAGAAGGTCCAACCACACTCTACAGCCGGATCCACCCCTCCCAGCCCCGTTCCAACACATTCATTGAGAAATAGTTTTTTAGTGTAAACAAAAATCATGTTTGTTTTTCTCTGCGAGGAGGAGGAGGACTGGCCGATCGGGCGCCAGGTTTGTCCAAACGTCGGGGAAAAAGCACAAACAAGTTGCTAATTCAATGAGTTAAGCTAACGTGGTTGTTTACATTGTGTTTAGCTCATAGAGAAATAAAAGCCCTGTTTCCACCAGCCTCTCTCTGCTCTGGTACTACAGAACTGGTACCAGGTCCAGAGTGCTGCTGGAAGCCATGGTTACCAAGGAATTTCTCTGGATACAGGTTTGTTGTGGTTAGTTGCTAGGCTACGGTACCAGATACTAAAGTCTAATGGAAACGCAACCAGGTAGAGTAGAGTAGAGTAGGGTTGGTGGAAACAGGGCAATAGTTTAAAAGTTTGTGAGAAAAGGCCACATTCAAAACTCTGCAGTGAAGCGTCCGAGAGGGAAGTTTAATAACATTCTGAATAATAATAATCTGTGGATATAAACTCGTGTCCTACTCTTCTATTGTGTTAGATTTGATAAACTTTGATACAGGTTTGTGGAAAACTCTCAAAGGGACACAGTTAAAGCTGAGGTACGTAACTTTCACAACAACAAAGCTAATGCATCTGTGACGAGATCCTGCTTCTGTCACTGGTCTGGTCTCGGCCCTGGTCTCGGTCTAGATTTTAAAGCATGTATTTTTGAGGACTCGGTCTAGATCACGGCCCTGGTCTCGGTCTTGTTTTAAAATCATGCATTAACATTTTTAAACTAACTTGTGTTATTATGGGAACAAAAGTGAAGTACCCCAGCTTTAAAACGTCCTCTTAACACTACAATAGTTTAGGTTCATTTAATTATATATTCTGCAAACTCTCTTTGAACACATGAGCTAACGGCCAGAGGGTAGTGTCACCACCAGGGTTTGTCCGTCTGTCCAGGTCTTAAAGCTGATCACAAAAACCACTGCTGTTTATCAACATCAAAAACCAAGTCGGGAACTCCAGAAGGACTAGAGGTCTCTCTCTCCTGTCTCTCTCTTCGGTCTCTCCCTCTGCTCTCTCTCTCCTGTCTCTCTCTTCGGTCTCCCCCTCTGCTCTCTCTCTCCTGTCTCTCTCTCTGGTCTCTCTCTCTGGTCTCCCTCTCTGGTCTCTCTCTCCGGTCTCTCCCTCTGCTCTCTCTCTCCTGTCTCTCTCTTCGGTCTCTCTCTCCGCTCTCTCTGTTCTCTGATATGACATGTCCAATAAGCACAGACCACTGATCTGAATGAGCAGACATCTTGGAAAGACCCAGGGCAGACATCTTGGAAAGACCTGGGACAGACATCTTGGAAAGACCTGGGGCAGACATCTTGGAAAGACCTGGGGCAGACATCTTGGAGAGACCAGGGCAGACATCTTGGAGAGACCTGGGGCAGACATCTTGAAGAGACCTGGGGCAGACATCTTGGAAAGACCTGGGGGTTTGCAGTCTTCTATTCATTAGTGCTAACGTTAGCCTAATTAATTAAAAAGGAGCAGCTATCTGACTTCTCTTTGTAAAACGGCCTCATCAAAATCCCAAGATAAAAGCATAAAAACAAGTGGCAGCGGCTCTAACCTGAGCACCAGAGGAGGTTATGGACGCGGCGTTAGTGCTCTCCTTGGAACAACAGCAGTGAGATTGAGAGAAGAGACTCGCCTGTTGCCATGGAAGCGTCATCGTTTAGTTTGGAATGTTATTTATCTATGTTTTCACCAGGGGGTTGTTCAGTAAAGCTCTGAAACGGGACCTAAAGCCCACAGTCTACAGAATGGAACTGCGCCTCTTGGTGGAGGTCTGCGCTCTACGGCTGTGCCTGCTGCTCTCCTCTGCGCAGACCTGACACTGTGAATATGGACCAACGTCTCTGTGTTTGTCATCGTTGCATTCCCAGTGTTTGAACAGTTTGATTCTCTGATCTGTCGGCGGCAAATCCACAACTTCAGAACGTCCTCAGAGAAAACGACTGTCGTGATTTAGGGCGATACAAAAATAAATGGAACTAAGTCAATCGTCTTCGTAATCCTCGTCCTCGTCGTCTTTGATCTCCACATAGTCCACACTCTCCGGCTCCGACTTGTCCTCACCCTGCTCCACCAGGTCCTGCTCCACCTCCTCCTCCCCCTCCTCCCCCTCCTCCTCCTCGTCATAGGAGGAGATGGGGGAGTAGTGGGGGAGGTGGAAGCAGGGGGGGCTGGAGGAGCGCTCGGAGCCGCTGGGGGCCAGTGTGATGGGGATGGAGTATTCGGGGGAGGCCCTGGAGGTGAGGGAGGAGGAGGAGGGGGGGAGGACCGCCATGCCCAGCCCGTAGCCCAGCCCCTCCCCCCCCGCCGGGCCCTGGTACTCCCGGATCTCGCCCGGCTCCAGGGGGTGGGGGCCGCAGGGGTCGTGCTCGCTGCAGAGGAGTTTCCCGTCGACTTTGGACTTGAACAAACGACCGTCTTTGTGAACGTCGCAGAAAGAACTCGGACAAATCTCACAAAACGACTTCGCTTCTTTACCGCAGGAGTCGCACTGGTGCCTCGGACACTCCCACCGACCTGAGGGAGACCAGAGGGAGACCAGAGGGAGACCAGAGGGAGACCAGAGGGAGACCAGAGAGAGACCAGAGGGAGACCAGAGGGAGACCAGAGGGAGACCAGAGAGAGACCAGAGGGAGACCAGAGAGAGACCAGAGAAAGACCAGAGGGAGACCAGAGGGAGACCAGAGGGAGACCAGAGGGAGACCAGAGGGAGACCAGAGAGAGACCAGAGGGAGACCAGAGGGAGACCAGAGAGAGACCAGAGAAAGACCAGAGGGAGACCAGAGGGAGACCAGAGGGAGACCAGAGGGAGACCAGAGAGAGACCAGAGAGAGACCAGAGGGAGACCAGAAGGAGACCAGAAGGAGACCAGAGGGAGACCAGAGGGAGACCAGAGGGAGACCAGAGGGAGACCAGAGAGAGACCAGAGGGAGACCAGAGGGAGACCAGAGGGAGACCAGAGGGAGACCAGAGGGAGACCAGAGAGAGACCAGAGGGAGACCAGAGGGAGACCAGAGAGAGACCAGAGAAAGACCAGAGGGAGACCAGAGGGAGACCAGAGGGAGACCAGAGGGAGACCAGAGAGAGACCAGAGAGAGACCAGAGGGAGACCAGAAGGAGACCAGAGGGAGACCAGAGGGAGACCAGAGGGAGACCAGAGGGAGACCAGAGAGAGACCAGAGGGAGACCAGAGGGAGACCAGAGAGAGACCAGAGAAAGACCAGAGGGAGACCAGAGGGAGACCAGAGGGAGACCAGAGGGAGACCAGAGGGAGACCAGAGGGAGACCAGAGGGAGACCAGAGAGAGACCAGAGAGAGGGTTACATTGACATCATACTATTACAGGACTGAGACAGAAGGGGCGGAGCTATATCTTTATACTTCCTGATATTAGTCTGGATGGATCTAAACACCGCTCCTCCCCCCCTCACCCTCACCTGTGATAGTATAGGTAATTTAACTATACGTTCTACCCCTTCCTCCCCTCACCCCCCCCTCCCTCACCCTTTCCCTCCCCCTTCACCCCCCCTTACCTGCAGGTCTGCGGGTGAGCTGCAGGCAGTCTGCGTGGTAGACCTTGGGGCAGCCCGGCTTCTTGCAGGAGACCAGCTGACCCCCGTCTCCGCAGCTGAAGCACTCGTCCTCTCGCTCTTTGGTCTCCACGACTCGACTCTTTCTGCGACCGCGACGTTTACACTTACGACCCGAGTCCTCAGAGACCGGAGGCTTGTTCTGAGGCGGGGACCAGAAGGAGACCAGAGGGAGTCAGGGAGAGACCAGAGAGAGGCCAGAGAGAGACCAGAGAGAGACCAGAGAGAGACCAGAGAGAGACCAGGGAGAGACCAGAGAGAGACCAGAGAGAGACCAGGGAGAGACCAGAGAGAGACCAGAGAGAGACCAGGGAGAGACCAGAGAGGGACCAGAGAGAGACCAGAGAGAGACCAGAGAGAGACCAGAGAGAGACCAGAGAGAGACCAGAGAGAGACCAGAGAGAGAGGCCAGAGTGAGACCAGAGTAGAGAGAGACTGTAGAGTGAGAGATAGAGACCGTAGAGACTGTAGACTGTAGAGACTGTAGAGACTGTAGACTGTAGAGACTGTAGAGACTGTAGACTGTAGAGACTGTAGAGACTGTAGTGACTGTAGAGACTGTAGACTGTAGAGACTGTAGAGACAGTAGACTGTAGAGACTGTAGACTGTAGAGACTGTAGACTGTAGAGACTGTAGAGACTGTAGAGACTGTAGAGACTGTAGACTGTAGAGACTGTAGAGACTGTAGAGACTGTAGACTGTAGAGACTGTAGAGACTGTAGAGACTGTAGACTGTAGAGACTGTAGAGACTGTTGACTGTAGAGACTGTAGAGACTGTAGAGACTGTAGACTGTAGAGACTGTAGACTGTAGAGACTGTAGTGACTGTAGAGACTGTAGAGAGTGTAGTGACTGTAGAGACTGTAGAGACTGTAGACTGTAGAGACGGTAGAGACTGTAGAGACTGTAGAGACTGTAGACTGTAGAGACTGTAGACTGTAGACTGTAGTGACTGTAGTGACTGTAGAGACTGTAGACTGTAGTGACTGTAGAGACTGTAGACTGTAGAGACTGTAGAGACTGTAGAGACTGTTGACTGTAGAGACTGTAGAGACTGTAGAAACTGTAGACTGTAGAGACTGTAGAGACTGTAGAGACTGTAGACTTTAGAGACTGTAGAGACTGTAGAGACTGTAGACTGTAGAGACTGTAGAGACTGTAGAGACTGTTGACTGTAGAGACTGTAGAGACTGTAGAGACTGTAGAGACTGTAGACTGTAGAGAATGTAGACTGTAGAGACTGTAGTGACTGTAGAGACTGTAGAGAGTGTAGTGACTGTAGAGACTGTAGAGACTGTAGAGACTGTAGAGACGATAGAGACGGTAGAGACTGTAGAGACTGTAGAGACTGTAGAGACTGTAGACTGTAGAGACTGTAGAGACTGTAGAGACTGTAGAGACTGTAGACTGTAGACTGTAGAGACTGTAGTGACTGTAGAGACTGTAGAGAGTGTAGTGACTGTAGAGACTGTAGAGACTGTAGAGACTGTAGAGACGATAGAGACGGTAGAGACTGTAGAGACTGTAGACTGTAGAGACTGTAGAGACTGTAGACTGTAGAGACTGTAGAGACTGTAGAGACTGTAGAGACTGTAGAGACGAATAGAGACGGTAGAGACTGTAGAGACTGTAGAGACTGTAGAGACTGTAGAGAGTGTAGTGACTGTAGAGAGTGTAGTGACTGTAGAGACTGTAGAGACTGTAGAGACGATAGAGACGGTAGAGACTGTAGAGACTGTAGAGACTGTAGACTGTAGAGACTGTAGAGACTGTAGAGACGATAGAGACGGTAGAGACTGTAGAGACTGTAGAGACTGTAGACTGTAGAGACTGTAGAGACTGTAGAGACTGTAGAGACTGTAGTGACTGTAGAGACTGTAGAGAGTGTAGTGACTGTAGAGACTGTAGAGACTGTAGAGACTGTAGAGACTGTAGAGACGATAGAGACGGTAGAGACTGTAGAGACTGTAGAGACTGTAGACTGTAGAGACTGTAGAGACTGTAGACTGTAGAGACTGTAGAGACTGTAGAGACTGTAGAGACTGTAGAGACGGTAGAGACTGTAGAGACTGTAGAGACTGTAGAGACGATAGAGACTGTAGAGACTGTAGAGACTGTAGAGACTGTAGAGACGATAGAGACGGTAGAGACTGTAGAGACTGTAGACTGTAGAGACTGTAGAGACTGTAGACTGTAGAGATTGTAGAGACTGTAGAGCAGGGGTGTCAAACCGGTCCTCAAAGGGCCGATGTGGCTGCAGGTTTTAGTTCCAACTTGAGCAGGAGCACACCAGACTCCACCCATTTCCTCAAATCTTAAGGTGAAAAATGGTCTCACCTGAGGAAATGGGTGGAGTCTGGTGTGCTCCTGCTCAAGTTGGAACTAAAACCTGCAGCCACATCGGCCCTTTGAGGACCGGTTTGACACCCCTGCTGTAGAGACTGTAGACTGTAGAGACTGTAGAGACTGTAGAGACTGTAGACTGTAGAGACTGTAGAGACTGTAGTGACTGTAGAGACTGTAGAGACTGTAGACTGTAGAGACTGTAGAGACTGTAGTGACTGTAGAGACTGTAGAGACTGTAGACTGTAGAGACTGTAGAGACTGTAGAGACTGTAGAGACTGTAGAGACTGTCTTCCTGCAGCAGATTCCTGTTCCTCACTCTCTCTGTAGAAGAAGATGTTTAATCCAACTTCTTCATTTTCCATGTTTTGATAAACTCGAAACTCCTTAAAGTTAGGTTTGTAGGAAAATAATATTTCTTGATGCTGTTTTGAAGCCTTTCATCAGATTTAAATGCAAAGTATTGTTTTTCACGTAACAGGACTCTAAAGTCCAGCTCTACAGTCCGACTCTACAGTCCGACTCTACAGTCCGACTCTACAGTCCGACTCTGAAGTCCGGCTCTACAGTCCGACTCTACAGTCCGACTCTACAGTCTGACTCTACAGTCTGACTCTACAGTCTGACTCTACAGTCTGACTCTACAGTCTGACTCTACAGTCCGACTCTACAGTCTGACTCTACAGTCCGACTCTACAGTCCGACTCTACAGTCCGACTCTAAAGTCCGGCTCTACAGTCCGACTCTACAGTCCGACTCTACAGTCCGACTCTACAGTCTGACTCTACAGTCTGACTCTACAGTCCGACTCTAAAGTCCGACTCTACAGTCCGACTCTAAAGTCCGACTCTACAGTCTGACTCTACAGTCCGACTCTACAGTCCGACTCTAAAGTCCGACTCTACAGTCTGACTCTACAGTCCGACTCTACAGTCCGACTCTACAGTCCGACTCTAAAGTCCGGCTCTAGAGTCCGACTCTACAGTCCGACTCTACAGTCCGACTCTACAGTCTGACTCTACAGTCTGACTCTACAGTCTGACTCTACAGTCCGACTCTAAAGTCCGACTCTACAGTCCGACTCTAAAGTCCGACTCTACAGTCTGACTCTACAGTCCGACTCTACAGTCCGACTCTACAGTCCGACTCTACAGTCCGACTCTACAGTCTGACTCTAGTGACTGTAGAGACTGTAGAGACTATAGAGACTGTAGAGACTGTAGACTGTAGAGACTGTAGAGACTGTAGAGACTGTAGAGACTGTAGACTGTAGAGACTGTAGAGACTGTAGTGACTGTAGAGACTGTAGAGACTGTAGAGACTGTAGACTGTAGAGACTGTAGAGACTGTAGACTGTAGAGACTGTAGAGACTGTAGTGACTGTAGAGACTGAAGTGACTGTAGAGACTGTAGAGACTGTAGAGACTGTAGACTGTAGAGACTGTAGAGACTGTATAGACTGTGGAGACTGTAGAGACTGTAGAGACTGTAGACTGTAGAGACTGTAGAGACTGTAGTGACTGTAGAGACTGTAGACTGTAGAGACTGTAGAGACTGTGGAGACTGTAGAGACTGTAGAGACTGTAGACTAGAGACTGTAGAGACTGTAGACTGTAGACTGTAGAGACTGTAGAGACTGTAGAGACTGTAGAGACTGTAGAGACTGTAGAGACTGAAGTGACTGTAGAGACTGTAGAGACTGTAGAGACTGTAGACTGTAGAGACTGTAGACTGTAGAGACTGTAGAGACTGTAGACTGTAGAGACTGTAGGGCTGTGGAGACTGTAGAGACTGTAGAGACTGTAGACTGTAGAGACTGTAGAGACTGTAGTGACTGTAGAGACTGAAGTGACTGTAGAGACTGTAGAGACTGTAGACTGTAGAGACTGTAGAGACTGTAGAGACTGTGGAGACTGTAGAGACTGTAGAGACTGTAGACTAGAGACTGTAGAGACTGTAGACTGTAGAGACTGTAGAGACTGTAGTGACTGTAGAGACTGTAGAGACTGAAGTGACTGTAGAGACTGTAGAGACTGTAGAGCCTGTAGACTGTAGAGACTGTAGAGACTGAGACTGTAGACTGTAGAGACTGTAGAGACTGTAGACTGTAGACTGTAGAGACTGTAGAGACTGTAGTGACTGTAGAGACTGAAGTGACTGTAGAGACTGTAGAGACTGTAGAGACTGTAGACTGTAGAGACTGTAGAGACTGTGGAGACTGTAGACTGTAGAGACTGTAGAGACTGTAGACTGTAGACTATAGAGACTGTAGACTGTAGAGACTGTAGAGACTGTAGACTGTAGAGACTGTAGAGACTGTAGAGAATGTAGAGACTGTAGAGACTGTAGACTGTAGAGACTGTAGACTGTAGAGACTGTAGAGACTGTGGAGACTGTAGACTGTAGAGACTGTAGAGACTGTAGACTGTAGAGACTGTAGAGGCTGTAGAGACTGTAGACTGTAGAGACTGTAGAGACTGTAGAGAATGTAGAGACTGTAGAGACTGTAGACTGTAGAGACTGTAGAGACTGTAGAGACTGTAGTGACTGTAGAGACTGTAGAGACTGTAGACTGTGGAGACTGTAGAGACTGTAGACTGTAGAGACTGTAGAGACTGTAGAGACTGTAGACTGTAGAGACTGTAGACTGTAGAGACTGTAGACTGTAGAGACTGTAGACTGTAGAGACTGTAGACTGTAGAGACTGTAGAGACTGTAGACTGTAGAGACTGTAGAGACTGTAGACTGTAGAGACTGTAGAGACTGTAGAGACTGTAGACTGTAGAGACTGTAGAGACTGTAGACTATAGAGACTGTAGAGACTGTAGAAACTGTAGAGACTGTAGACTGTAGAGACTGTAGAGACTGTAGAGACTGTGTAGACTGTAGAGACTGTAGACTGTAGAGACTGTAGAGACTGTAGTGACTGTAGACTGTAGAGACTGTAGAGACTGTAGACTGTAGAGACTGTAGAGACTGTAGAAACTGTAGACTGTAGAGACTGTAGACTGTAGAGACTGTAGAGACTGTAGAGACTGTAGAGACTGTAGAGACCGTAGAGACTGTAGACTGTAGAGACTGTAGAGACTGTAGACTGTAGAGACTGTAGAGACTGTAGACTGTAGAGACTGTAGAGACTGTAGTGACTGTAGAGACTGTAGACTGTAGAGACTGTAGAGACAGTAGACTGTAGAGACTGTAGACTGTAGAGACTGTAGACTGTAGAGACTGTAGAGACTGTAGAGACTGTAGAGACTGTAGAGACTGTAGACTGTAGAGACTGTAGAGACTGTAGAGACTGTAGACTGTAGAGACTGTAGAGACTGTAGAGACTGTAGACTGTAGAGACTGTAGAGACTGTTGACTGTAGAGACTGTAGAGACTGTAGACTGTAGAGACTGTAGACTGTAGAGACTGTAGTGACTGTAGAGACTGTAGAGAGTGTAGTGACTGTAGAGACTGTAGAGACTGTAGACTGTAGAGACGGTAGAGACTGTAGAGACTGTAGAGACTGTAGACTGTAGAGACTGTAGACTGTAGACTGTAGTGACTGTAGTGACTGTAGAGACTGTAGACTGTAGTGACTGTAGAGACTGTAGACTGTAGAGAGACTGTAGAGACTGTAGAGACTGTTGACTGTAGAGACTGTAGACTGTAGAGACTGTAGAGACTGTAGAGACTGTAGACTTTAGAGACTGTAGAGACTGTAGAGACTGTAGACTGTAGAGACTGTAGAGACTGTAGAGACTGTTGACTGTAGAGACTGTAGAGACTGTAGAGACTGTAGAGACTGTAGACTGTAGAGAATGTAGACTGTAGAGACTGTAGTGACTGTAGAGACTGTAGAGAGTGTAGTGACTGTAGAGACTGTAGAGACTGTAGAGACTGTAGAGTACGATAGAGACGGTAGAGACTGTAGAGACTGTAGAGACTGTAGAGACTGTAGAGACTGTAGACTGTAGAGACTGTAGAGACTGTAGAGACTGTAGAGACTGTAGACTGTAGACTGTAGAGACTGTAGTGACTGTAGAGACTGTAGAGAGTGTAGTGACTGTAGAGACTGTAGAGACTGTAGAGACTGTAGAGACGATAGAGACGGTAGAGACTGTAGAGACTGTAGACTGTAGAGACTGTAGAGACTGTAGAGACTGTAGAGACTGTAGAGACTGTAGAGACTGTAGAGACGATAGAGACGGTAGAGACTGTAGAGACTGTAGAGACTGTAGAGACTGTAGAGAGTGTAGTGACTGTAGAGAGTGTAGTGACTGTAGAGACTGTAGAGACTGTAGAGACGATAGAGACGGTAGAGACTGTAGAGACTGTAGAGACTGTAGACTGTAGAGACTGTAGAGACTGTAGAGACGATAGAGACGGTAGAGACTGTAGAGACTGTAGAGACTGTAGACTGTAGAGACTGTAGAGACTGTAGAGACTGTAGAGAGAGACTGTAGTGACTGTAGAGACTGTAGAGAGTGTAGTGACTGTAGAGACTGTAGAGACTGTAGAGACTGTAGAGACTGTAGAGACGATAGAGACGGTAGAGACTGTAGAGACTGTAGAGACTGTAGACTGTAGAGACTGTAGAGACTGTAGACTGTCGAGACTGTAGAGACTGTAGAGACTGTAGAGACTGTAGAGACGGTAGAGACTGTAGAGACTGTAGAGACTGTAGAGACGATAGAGACTGTAGAGACTGTAGAGACTGTAGAGACGATAGAGACGGTAGAGACTGTAGAGACTGTAGACTGTAGAGACTGTAGAGACTGTAGACTGTAGAGATTGTAGAGACTGTAGAGCAGGGGTGTCAAACCGGTCCTCAAAGGGCCGATGTGGCTGCAGGTTTTAGTTCCAACTTGAGCAGGAGCACACCAGACTCCACCCATTTCCTCAAATCTTAAGGTGAAAAATGGTCTCACCTGAGGAAATGGGTGGAGTCTGGTGTGCTCCTGCTCAAGTTGGAACTAAAACCTGCAGCCACATCGGCCCTTTGAGGACCGGTTTGACACCCCTGCTGTAGAGACTGTAGACTGTAGAGACTGTAGAGACTGTAGACTGTAGAGACTGTAGACTGTAGACTGTAGACTGTAGAGACTGTAGAGACTGTAGACTGTAGAGACGTGTAGAGACTGTAGTGACTGTAGAGACTGTAGAGACTGTAGACTGTAGAGACTGTAGAGACTGTAGAGACTGTAGAGACTGTAGAGACTGTCTTCCTGCAGCAGATTCCTGTTCCTCACTCTCTCTGTAGAAGAAGATGTTTAATCCAACTTCTTCATTTTCCATGTTTTGATAAACTCGAAACTCCTTAAAGTTAGGTTTGTAGGAAAATAATATTTCTTGATGCTGTTTTGAAGCCTTTCATCAGATTTAAATGCAAAGTATTGTTTTTCACGTAACAGGACTCTAAAGTCCAGCTCTACAGTCCGACTCTACAGTCCGACTCTACAGTCCGACTCTACAGTCCGACTCTGAAGTCCGGCTCTACAGTCCGACTCTACAGTCCGACTCTACAGTCTGACTCTACAGTCTGACTCTACAGTCTGACTCTACAGTCTGACTCTACAGTCTGACTCTACAGTCCGACTCTACAGTCTGACTCTACAGTCCGACTCTACAGTCCGACTCTACAGTCCGACTCTAAAGTCCGGCTCTACAGTCCGACTCTACAGTCCGACTCTACAGTCCGACTCTACAGTCTGACTCTACAGTCTGACTCTACAGTCCGACTCTAAAGTCCGACTCTACAGTCCGACTCTAAAGTCCGACTCTACAGTCTGACTCTACAGTCCGACTCTACAGTCCGACTCTAAAGTCCGACTCTACAGTCTGACTCTACAGTCCGACTCTACAGTCCGACTCTACAGTCCGACTCTAAAGTCCGGCTCTAGAGTCCGACTCTACAGTCCGACTCTACAGTCCGACTCTACAGTCTGACTCTACAGTCTGACTCTACAGTCTGACTCTACAGTCCGACTCTAAAGTCCGACTCTACAGTCCGACTCTAAAGTCCGACTCTACAGTCTGACTCTACAGTCCGACTCTACAGTCCGACTCTAAAGTCCGACTCTACAGTCCGACTCTACAGTCTGACTCTAGTGACTGTAGAGACTGTAGTGACTGTAGAGACTGTAGAGACTATAGAGACTGTAGAGACTGTAGACTGTAGAGACTGTAGAGACTGTAGAGACTGTAGAGACTGTAGACTGTAGAGACTGTAGAGACTGTAGTGACTGTAGAGACTGTAGAGACTGTAGAGACTGTAGACTGTAGAGACTGTAGAGACTGTAGACTGTAGAGACTGTAGAGACTGTAGTGACTGTAGAGACTGAAGTGACTGTAGAGACTGTAGAGACTGTAGAGACTGTAGACTGTAGAGACTGTAGAGACTGTAGAGACTGTAGAGACTGTAGACTGTAGACTGTAGAGACTGTAGAGACTGTAGAGACTGTAGACTGTAGATACTGTAGACTGTAGAGACTGTAGACTGTAGAGACTGTAGAGACTGTAGAGACTGTGGAGACTGTAGAGACTGTAGAGACTGTAGAGACTGAAGTGACTGTAGAGACTGTAGAGACTGTAGAGACTGTAGACTGTAGAGACTGTAGACTGTAGAGACTGTAGAGACTGTAGACTGTAGAGACTGTAGAGACTGTGGAGACTGTAGAGACTGTAGACTGTAGAGACTGTAGAGACTGTAGTGACTGTAGAGACTGAAGTGACTGTAGAGACTGTAGAGACTGTAGACTGTAGAGACTGTAGAGACTGTAGAGACTGTGGAGACTGTAGAGACTGTAGAGACTGTAGACTAGAGACTGTAGAGACTGTAGACTGTAGAGACTGTAGAGACTGTAGTGACTGTAGAGACTGTAGAGACTGAAGTGACTGTAGAGACTGTAGAGACTGTAGAGCCTGTAGACTGTAGAGACTGTAGACTGTAGAGACTGTAGACTGTAGAGACTGTAGAGACTGTAGAGACTGTGGAGACTGTAGAGACTGTAGAGACTGTAGAGACTGTAGTGACTGTAGAGACTGTAGAGACTGTAGAGACTGTAGAGACTGTAGACTGTAGAGACTGTAGAGACTGTAGAGACTGTGGAGACTGTAGAGACTGTAGAGACTGTAGAGACTGTAGACTGTAGAGACTGTAGAGACTGTAGACTGTAGAGACTGTAGAGACTGTAGACTGTAGAGACTGTAGAGACTGTAGACTGTAGAGTAGACTGTAGAGACTGTAGACTGTAGAGACTGTAGAGACTGTAGAGACTGTAGAGACTGTAGTTACTGTAGAGACTGTGGAGACTGTAGAGACTGTAGACTAGAGACTGTAGAGACTGTAGACTGTAGACTGTAGAGACTGTAGACTGTAGAGACTGTAGAGACTGTAGAGACTGTAGACTGTAGAGACTGTAGAGACTGTAGAGAATGTAGAGACTGTAGAGACTGTAGACTGTAGAGACTGTAGACTGTAGAGACTGTAGAGACTGTAGAGACTGTGGAGACTGTAGACTGTAGAGACTGTAGAGACTGTAGACTGTAGAGACTGTAGAGACTGTAGAGACTGTAGACTGTAGAGACTGTAGAGACTGTAGAGAATGTAGAGACTGTAGAGACTGTAGACTGTAGAGACTGTAGAGACTGTAGAGACTGTAGTGACTGTAGAGACTGTAGAGACTGTAGACTGTGGAGACTGTAGAGACTGTAGAGACTGTAGAGACTGTAGACTGTAGAGACTGTAGACTGTAGAGACTGTAGACTGTAGAGACTGTAGACTGTAGAGACTGTAGACTGTAGAGACTGTAGAGACTGTAGACTGTAGAGACTGTAGAGACTGTAGACTGTAGAGACTGTAGAGACTGTAGAGACTGTAGACTGTAGAGACTGTAGAGACTGTAGACTATAGAGACTGTAGAGACTGTAGAAACTGTAGAGACTGTAGACTGTAGAGACTGTAGAGACTGTAGAGACTGTGTAGACTGTAGAGACTGTAGACTGTAGAGACTGTAGTGACTGTAGACTGTAGAGACTGTAGAGACTGTAGACTGTAGAGACTGTAGAGACTGTAGAAACTGTAGACTGTAGAGACTGTAGACTGTAGAGACTGTAGAGACTGTAGACTGTAGAGACTGTAGAGACTGTAGAGACCGTAGAGACTGTAGACTGTAGAGACTGTAGAGACTGTAGACTGTAGAGACTGTAGAGACTGTAGACTGTAGAGACTGTAGAGACTGTAGTGACTGTAGAGACTGTAGACTGTAGAGACTGTAGAGACAGTAGACTGTAGAGACTGTAGACTGTAGAGACTGTAGAGACTGTAGACTGTAGAGACTGTAGAGACTGTAGAGACTGTAGAGACTGTAGAGACTGTAGAGACTGTAGACTGTAGAGACTGTAGAGACTGTAGAGACTGTAGACTGTAGAGACTGTAGAGACTGTAGAGACTGTAGACTGTAGAGACTGTAGAGACTGTAGAGACTGTTGACTGTAGAGACTGTAGAGACTGTAGAGACTGTAGACTGTAGACTGTAGAGACTGTAGTGACTGTAGAGACTGTAGAGAGTGTAGTGACTGTAGAGACTGTAGAGACTGTAGACTGTAGAGACGGTAGAGACTGTAGAGACTGTAGAGACTGTAGACTGTAGAGACTGTAGACTGTAGACTGTAGTGACTGTAGTGACTGTAGAGACTGTAGACTGTAGTGACTGTAGAGACTGTAGACTGTAGAGACTGTAGAGACTGTAGAGACTGTTGACTGTAGAGACTGTAGAGACTGTAGAGACTGTAGACTGTAGAGACTGTAGAGACTGTAGAGACTGTAGAGACTGTAGAGACTGTAGAGACTGTAGACTGTAGAGACTGTAGAGACTGTAGAGACTGTTGACTGTAGAGACTGTAGAGACTGTAGAGACTGTAGAGACTGTAGACTGTAGAGAATGTAGACTGTAGAGACTGTAGTGACTGTAGAGACTGTAGAGAGTGTAGTGACTGTAGAGACTGTAGAGACTGTAGAGACTGTAGAGACGATAGAGACGGTAGAGACTGTAGAGACTGTAGAGACTGTAGACTGTAGAGACTGTAGAGACTGTAGAGACTGTAGAGACTGTAGACTGTAGACTGTAGAGACTGTAGTGACTGTAGAGACTGTAGAGAGTGTAGTGACTGTAGAGACTGTAGAGACTGTAGAGACTGTAGAGACGATAGAGACGGTAGAGACTGTAGAGACTGTAGAGACTGTAGACTGTAGAGACTGTAGAGAGACTGTAGACTGTAGAGACTGTAGAGACTGTAGAGACTGTAGAGACTGTAGAGACGATAGAGACGGTAGAGACTGTAGAGACTGTAGAGACTGTAGAGACTGTAGAGAGTGTAGTGACTGTAGAGAGTGTAGTGACTGTAGAGACTGTAGAGACTGTAGAGACGATAGAGACGGTAGAGACTGTAGAGACTGTAGAGACTGTAGACTGTAGAGACTGTAGAGACTGTAGAGACGATAGAGACGGTAGAGACTGTAGAGACTGTAGAGACTGTAGACTGTAGAGACTGTAGAGACTGTAGAGACTGTAGAGACTGTAGTGACTGTAGAGACTGTAGAGAGTGTAGTGACTGTAGAGACTGTAGAGACTGTAGAGACTGTAGAGACGATAGAGACGGTAGAGACTGTAGAGACTGTAGAGACTGTAGACTGTAGAGACTGTAGAGACTGTAGAGACTGTAGAGACTGTAGAGACGGTAGAGACTGTAGAGACTGTAGAGACTGTAGAGACGATAGAGACTGTAGAGACTGTAGAGACTGTAGAGACGATAGAGACGGTAGAGACTGTAGAGACTGTAGACTGTAGAGACTGTAGAGACTGTAGACTGTAGAGATTGTAGAGACTGTAGAGCAGGGGTGTCAAACCGGTCCTCAAAGGGCCGATGTGGCTGCAGGTTTTAGTTCCAACTTGAGCAGGAGCACACCAGACTCCACCCATTTCCTCAAATCTTAAGGTGAAAAATGGTCTTACCTGAGGAAATGGGTGGAGTCTGGTGTGCTCCTGCTCAAGTTGGAACTAAAACCTGCAGCCACATCGGCCCTTTGAGGACCGGTTTGACACCCCTGCTGTAGAGACTGTAGACTGTAGAGACTGTAGAGACTGTAGACTGTAGAGACTGTAGACTGTAGACTGTAGAGACTGTAGAGACTGTAGAGACTGTAGACTGTAGAGACTGTAGAGACTGTAGTGACTGTAGAGACTGTAGAGACTGTAGACTGTAGAGACTGTAGAGACTGTAGAGACTGTAGAGACTGTAGAGACTGTAGAGACTGTAGAGACTGTAGAGACTGTAGAGACTGTAGACTGTAGAGACTGTAGAGACTGTAGAGACTGTAGACTGTAGAGACTGTAGAGACTGTAGTGACTGTAGAGACTGTAGAGACTGTAGACTGTAGAGACTGTAGAGACTGTAGAGACTGTAGAGACTGTCTTCCTGCAGCAGATTCCTGTTCCTCACTCTCTCTGTAGAAGAAGATGTTTAATCCAACTTCTTCATTTTCCATGTTTTGATAAACTCGAAACTCCTTAAAGTTAGGTTTGTAGGAAAATAATATTTCTTGATGCTGTTTTGAAGCCTTCCATCAGATTTAAATGCAAAGTATTGTTTTTCACGTAACAGGACTCTAAAGTCCAGCTCTACAGTCCGACTCTACAGTCCGACTCTACAGTCCGACTCTACAGTCCGACTCTGAAGTCCGGCTCTACAGTCCGACTCTACAGTCCGACTCTACAGTCTGACTCTACAGTCTGACTCTACAGTCTGACTCTACAGTCTGACTCTACAGTCCGACTCTACAGTCTGACTCTACAGTCCGACTCTACAGTCCGACTCTACAGTCCGACTCTAAAGTCCGGCTCTACAGTCCGACGTCGACTACAGTCCGACTCTACAGTCGACTCTACAGTCGACTTACAGTTGACTTACAGTTCGGACTTGTACAGTGTAGAGACTGTGAGACTGTAGACTTACAGTTGACTTACAGTTGAGACTGTAGAGACTGTAGAGACTGTAGAGACTGTTAGAGACTGTTAGAGACTGTAGACTGTAGAGACTGTAGAGACTGTAGACTGTAGAGACTGTAGAGACTGTAGAGACTGTAGAGACTGTAGAGACTGTGTGTAGAGACTGTAGAGACTGTAGAGACTGTAGAGACTGTAGAGACTGTAGAGACTGTAGAGACTGTAGAGACTGTAGAGACTGTAGAGACTGTAGAGACTGTAGAGACTGTAGACTGTAGAGACTGTAGACTGTAGGACTGTAGAGACTGTAGAGACTGTAGAGACTGTAGACTGTAGAGACTGTTAGAGACTGTAGAGACTGTAGAGACTGTAGAGACTGTAGAGACTGTAGAGACTGTAGAGACTGTAGACTGTAGAGACTGTAGACTGAGACTGTAGAGACTGTAGACTGTAGAGACTGTAGAGACTGTAGAGACTGTAGAGACTGTAGAGACTGTAGAGACTGTAGACTGTAGAGACTGTAGACTGTAGAGACTGTAGAGACTGTAGAGACTGTAGAGACTGTAGAGACTGTAGAGACTGTAGACTAGAGACTGTAGAGACTGTAGACTGTAGAGACTGTTAGAGACTGTAGAGACTGTAGAGACTGTTAGAGACTGTAGAGACTGTAGAGACTGTAGAGACTGTAGAGACTGTAGACTGTAGAGACGTGTTAGAGACTGTTAGAGACTGTAGAGACTGTAGAGACTGTTAGACTGAGACTGTTAGAGACTGTAGAGACTGTAGAGACTGTAGAGACTGTAGAGACTGTAGAGACTGTTAGAGACTGTAGAGACTGTAGAGACTGTAGAGACTGTAGACTGTAGAGACTGTAGAGACTGTAGAGACTGTAGACTGTAGAGACTGTAGAGACTGTAGACTGTAGAGACTGTAGAGACTGTAGACTGTAGAGACTGTAGAGACTGTGAGACTGAGAATGTAGACTGTAGAGACTGTAGACTGTAGAGACTGTTAGAGACTGTAGAGACTGTAGAGACTGTAGTTACTGTAGAGACTGTAGAGACTGTAGAGACTGTGATAGAGACTGTAGAGACTGTAGAGTAGACTGTAGAGACTGTAGACTGTAGAGACTGTTAGAGACTGTAGACTGTAGAGACTGTAGAGACTGTAGAGACTGTAGAGACTGTAGAGACTGTAGACTGTAGAGACTGTAGACTGTAGAGACTGTAGAGACTGTAGAGACTGTAGAGACTGTAGACTGTAGAGACTGTAGAGACTGTAGACTGTAGAGACTGTAGAGACTGTAGAGACTGTAGACTGTAGAGACTGTAGAGACTGTAGAGACTGTAGAGACTGTAGAGACTGTAGAGACTGTAGAGACTGTAGAGACTGTAGAGACTGTAGAGACTGTAGAGACTGTAGAGACTGTAGAGACTGTAGAGACTGTTAGAGACTGTAGAGACTGTAGAGACTGTAGAGACTGTAGACTGTAGAGACTGTAGACTGTAGAGACTGTAGACTGTAGAGACTGTAGACTGTAGAGACTGTAGAGACTGTAGACTGTAGAGACTGTTAGAGACTGTAGACTGTAGAGACTGTAGAGACTGTAGAGACGTAGCTGTAGAGACTGTAGAGACTGTTAGAGACTGTAGAGACTGTAGAGACTGTAGAGACTGTAGACTGTAGAGACTGTAGAGACTGTAGAGACTGTGTAGACTGTAGAGACTGTAGACTGTAGAGACTGTAGTGACGTAGACTGTAGAGACTGTAGAGACTGTAGACTGTAGAGACTGTAGAGACTGTAGAACTGTAGACTGTAGAGACTGTAGAGACTGTAGAGACTGTAGAGACTGTAGAGACTGTAGACTGTAGAGACTGTAGAGACTGTAGAGACTGTAGAGACTGTAGAGACTGTAGAGACTGTAGAGACTGTAGACTGTAGAGACTGTAGAGACTGTAGAGACTGTAGAGACTGTAGAGACTGTAGACTGTAGAGACTGTAGAGACTGTAGAGACTGTAGAGACTGTAGAGACTGTAGACTGTAGACTGTAGAGACTGTAGAGACTGTAGAGACTGTAGACTGTAGAGACTGTAGAGACTGTAGAGACTGTTGACTGTAGAGACTGTAGAGACTGTAGAGACTGTTGACTGTAGAGAGACTGTAGAGACTGTAGAGACTGTAGACTGTAGAGACTGTAGACTGTAGAGACTGTAGTGACTGTAGAGACTGTAGAGAGTGTAGTGACTGTAGAGAACTGTAGAGACTGTAAGACGATAGAGACGGTAGAGACGGTAGAGACTGTAGAGACTGTAGAGACTGTAGACTGTAGAGACTGTAGACTGTAGTGACTGTAGTGACTGTAGAGACTGTAGACTGTAGAGACTGTAGAGACTGTAGACTGTAGAGACTGTAGAGACTGTAGAGACTGTTGACTGTAGAGACTGTAGAGACTGTAGACTGTAGAGACTGTAGAGACTGTAGAGACTGTAGACTGTAGAGACTGTAGAGACTGTAGAGACTGTAGACTGTAGAGACTGTAGAGACTGTAGAGACTGTTGACTGTAGAGACTGTAGAGACTCTAGAGACTGTAGACTGTAGAGAATGTAGACTGTAGAGACTGTAGTGACTGTAGAGACTGTAGAGAGTGTAGTGACTGTAGAGACTGTAGAGACTGTAGAGACTGTAGAGACGATAGAGACGGTAGAGACTGTAGAGACTGTAGAGACTGTAGAGACTGTAGACTGTAGAGACTGTAGAGACTGTAGAGACTGTAGACTGTAGACTGTAGAGACTGTAGTGACTGTAGAGACTGTAGAGAGTGTAGTGACTGTAGAGACTGTAGAGACTGTAGAGACGATAGAGACGGTAGAGACTGTAGAGACTGTAGAGACTGTAGACTGTAGAGACTGTAGAGACTGTAGACTGTAGAGACTGTAGAGACTGTAGAGACTGTAGAGACTGTAGAGACGATAGAGACGGTAGAGACTGTAGAGACTGTAGAGACTGTAGAGAGTGTAGTGACTGTAGAGAGTGTAGTGACTGTAGAGACTGTAGAGACTGTAGAGACTGTAGAGACGATAGAGACGGTAGAGACTGTAGAGACTGTAGAGACTGTAGACTGTAGAGACTGTAGAGACTGTAGAGACGATAGAGACGGTAGAGACTGTAGAGACTGTAGAGACTGTAGACTGTAGAGACTGTAGAGACTGTAGAGACTGTAGAGACTGTAGTGACTGTAGAGACTGTAGAGAGTGTAGTGACTGTAGAGACTGTAGAGACTGTAGAGACTGTAGAGACGATAGAGACGGTAGAGACTGTAGAGACTGTAGAGACTGTAGAGACTGTAGAGACTGTAGAGTAGAGACTGTAGAGACTGTAGAGACTGTAGAGACGATAGAGACGGCAGAGACTGTAGAGACTGTAGAGACGATAGAGACTGTAGAGACTGTAGAGACTGTAGAGACGATAGAGACGGTAGAGACTGTAGAGACTGTAGAGACTGTAGAGACTGTAGACTGTAGAGACTGTAGAGACTGTAGAGACTGTCTTCCTGCAGCAGATTCCTGTTCCTCACTCTCTCTGTAGAAGAAGATGTTTAATCCAACTTCTTCATTTTCCATGTTTTGATAAACTCGAAACTCCTTAAAGTTAGGTTTGTAGGAAAATAATATTTCTTGATGCTGTTTTGAAGCCTTTCATCAGATTTAAATGCAAAGTATTGTTTTTCACGTAACAGGACTCTAAAGTCCAGCTCTACAGTCCGACTCTACAGTCCGACTCTACAGTCCGACTCTACAGTCCGACTCTGAAGTCCGGCTCTACAGTCCGACTCTGAAGTCCGGCTCTACAGTCCGACTCTACAGTCCGACTCTACAGTCCGACTCTACAGTCCGACTCTGAAGTCCGGCTCTACAGTCCGACTCTACAGTCCGACTCTACAGTCCGACTCTACAGTCTGACTCTACAGTCCGACTCTACAGTCCGACTCTACAGTCCGACTCTACAGTCCGACTCTACAGTCCGACTCTGAAGTCCGGCTCTACAGTCCGACTCTACAGTCCGACTCTACAGTCTGACTCTACAGTCTGACTCTACAGTCCGACTCTACAGTCCGACTCTACAGTCCGACTCTACAGTCCGACTCTACAGTCCGACTCTACAGTCCGACTCTAAAGTCCGGCTCTACAGTCCGACTCTACAGTCCGACTCTACAGTCCGACTCTACAGTCTGACTCTACAGTCTGACTCTACAGTCTGACTCTACAGTCCGACTCTAAAGTCCGACTCTACAGTCCGACCCTAAAGTCCGACTCTACAGTCTGACTCTACAGTCCGACTCTACAGTCCGACTCTAAAGTCCGACTCTACAGTCCGACTCTACAGTCTGACTCTAGTGACTGTAGAGACTGTAGTGACTGTAGAGACTGTAGAGACTATAGAGACTGTAGAGACTGTAGACTGTAGAGACTGTAGAGACTGTAGAGACTGTAGAGACTGTAGACTGTAGAGACTGTAGAGACTGTAGTGACTGTAGAGACTGTAGAGACTGTAGAGACTGTAGACTGTAGAGACTGTAGAGACTGTAGACTGTAGAGACTGTAGAGACTGTAGTGACTGTAGAGACTGAAGTGACTGTAGAGACTGTAGAGACTGTAGAGACTGTAGACTGTAGAGACTGTAGAGAGTGTATGTACTGTGACTGTAGAGAGTGTAGTGACTGTAGAGACTGTAGAGACTGTAGAGACTGTAGAGACGATAGAGACGGTAGAGACTGTAGAGACTGTAGAGACTGTAGACTGTAGAGACTGTAGAGACTGTAGAGACGATAGAGACGGTAGAGACTGTAGAGACTGTAGAGACTGTAGACTGTTGAGACTGTAGAGACTGTAGAGACTGTAGTGACTGTAGAGACTGTAGAGAGTGTAGTGACTGTAGAGACTGTAGAGACTGTAGAGACTGTAGAGACGATAGAGACGGTAGAGACTGTAGAGACTGTAGAGACTGTAGACTGTAGAGACTGTAGAGACTGTAGACTGTAGAGACTGTAGAGACTGTAGAGACTGTAGAGACTGTAGAGACTGTAGAGACGATAGAGACGGCAGAGACTGTAGAGACTGTAGAGACGATAGAGACTGTAGAGACTGTAGAGACTGATAGAGACGTAGAGACTGGTAGAGACTGTAGAGAGACTGTAGACTGTAGAGACTGTAGAGTAGACTGTAGAGACTGTAGAGACTGTAGAGACTGTAGAGACTGTAGAGACTGTAGAGACTGTAGAGACTGTAGAGACTGTAGAGACTGTAGAGACTGTAGAGACTGTAGACTGTAGAGACTGTAGAGACTGTAGACTGTAGAGACTGTAGAGACTGTAGAGACTGTAGAGACTGTAGAGACTGTAGACTGTAGAGACTGTAGAGACTGTAGAGACTGTAGAGACTGTAGAGACTGTAGAGACTGTAGAGACTGTAGAGACTGTAGAGACTGTAGACTGTAGACTGTAGAGACTGTAGACTGTAGAGACTGTAGAGACTGTAGAGACTGTAGAGACTGTAGACTGTAGAGACTGTAGAGACTGTAGAGACTGTAGAGACTGTAGACTGTAGAGACTGTAGACTGTAGAGACTGTAGAGACTGTAGAGACTGTAGAGACTGTAGAGACTGTAGACTGTAGAGACTGTAGACTGTAGAGACTGTAGAGACTGTAGAGACTGTAGACTGTAGAGACTGTAGAGACTGTAGAGACTGTAGAGACTGTAGAGACTGTAGACTGTAGAGACTGTAGAGACTGTAGAGACTGTAGACTGTAGAGACTGTAGAGACTGTAGACTGTAGAGACTGTAGAGACTGTAGAGACTGTAGACTGTAGACTGTAGAGACTGTAGAGACTGTAGACTGTAGAGACTGTAGAGACTGTAGGACTGTAGAGACTGTAGAGACTGTAGAGACTGTAGACTGTAGAGACTGTAGACTGTAGAGACTGTAGACTGTAGAGACTGTAGAGACTGTAGAGACTGTAGAGACTGTAGACTGTAGAGACTGTAGAGACTGTAGACTGTAGACTGTAGAGACTGTAGAGACTGTAGAGACTGTAGAGACTGTAGAGACTGTAGACTGTAGAGACTGTAGACTGTAGACTGTAGAGACTGTAGAGACTGTAGACTGTAGAGACTGTAGAGACTGTAGACTGTAGACTGTAGACTGTAGAGACTGTAGACTGTAGAGACTGTAGAGACTGTAGACTGTAGAGACTGTAGAGACTGTAGAGACTGTAGACTGTAGAGACTGTAGACTGTAGACTGTAGAGACTGTAGACTGTAGACTGTAGAGACTGTAGACTGTAGAGACTGTAGAGACTGTAGAGACTGTAGACTGTAGAGACTGTAGAGACTGTAGAGACTGTAGAGACTGTAGAGACTGTAGACTGTAGAGACTGTAGACTGTAGAGACTGTAGAGACTGTAGAGACTGTAGAGACTGTAGACTGTAGAGACTGTAGAGACTGTAGACTGTAGAGACTGTAGAGACTGTAGAGACTGTAGAGACTGTAGAGACTGTAGAGACTGTAGAGACTGTAGAGACTGTAGACTGTAGAGACTGTAGAGACTGTAAGACTGTAGAGACTGTAGAGACTGTAGAGACTGTAGACTGTAGAGACTGTAGAGACTGTAGACTGTAGAGACTGTAGAGACTGTAGAGACTGTAGACTGTAGAGACTGTAGACTGTAGAGACTGTAGACTGTAGAGACTGTAGAGACTGTAGAGACTGTAGAGACTGTAGAGACGTAGTAGACTGTAGAGACTGTAGACTGTAGAGACTGTAGAACTGTAGAGACTGTAGAGACTGTAGAGACTGTAGAGACGTAGACTGTAGAGACTGTAGAGACTGTAGAGACTGTAGAGACTGTAGACGTAGACTGTAGAGACTGTAGAGACTGTGAGACTGTAGAGACTGTAGACTGAGACTGTAGAGACTGTAGAGACTGTAGAGACTGTAGAGACTGTAGAGACTGTAGAGACTGTAGAGACTGTAGAGACTGTAGAGACTGTAGACTGTAGAGACTGTAGAGACTGTAGACTGTAGAGACTGTAGAGACTGTAGAGACTGTAGACTGTAGAGACTGTAGAGACTGTAGAGACTGTAGAGACTGTAGAGACTGTAGAGACTGTAGAGACTGTAGAGACTGTAGACTGTAGAGACTGTAGAGACTGTAGACTGTAGAGACTGTAGAGACTGTAGAGACTGTAGACTGTAGAGACTGTAGAGACTGTAGAGACTGTAGAGACTGTAGACTGTAGAGACTGTAGAGACTGTAGAGACTGTAGACTGTAGAGACTGTAGAGACTGTAGACTGTAGAGACTGTAGACTGTAGAGACTGTAGACTGTAGAGACTGTAGAGACTGTAGAGACTGTAGTGACTGTAGAGACTGTAGAGACTGTAGAGACTGTAGAGACTGTAGAGACTGTAGACTGTAGAGACGGTAGAGACTGTAGAGACTGTAGAGACTGTAGACTGTAGAGACTGTAGAGACTGTAGAGACTGTAGAGACTGTAGAGACTGTAGACTGTAGAGACTGTAGAGACTGTAGACTGTAGACTGTAGAGACTGTAGAGACTGTAGACTGTAGAGACTGTAGAGACTGTAGAGACTGTAGACTGTAGAGACTGTAGAGACTGTAGAGACTGTAGACTGTAGAGACTGTAGAGACTGTAGAGACTGTAGACTGAGACTGTAGAGACTGTAGAGACTGTAGACTGTAGAGACTGTAGAGACTGTAGAGACTGTAGAGACTGTAGACTGTAGAGACTGTAGAGACTGTAGTGACTGTAGAGACTGTAGAGACTGTAGAGACTGTAGAGACTGTAGACTGTAGAGACTGTAGAGACGTAGAGACTGTAGAGACTGTAGAGACTGTAGAGACTGTAGAGACTGTAGACTGTAGAGACTGTAGAGACTGTAGAGACTGTAGAGACTGTAGACTGTAGAGACTGTAGAGACTGTAGACTGTAGAGACTGTAGAGACTGTAGACTGTAGAGACTGTAGAGACTGTAGAGACTGTAGAGACTGTAGAGACTGTAGAGACTGTAGAGACTGTAGACTGTAGAGACTGTAGAGACTGTAGACTGTAGAGACTGTAGAGACTGTAGAGACTGTAGAGACTGTAGAGACTGTAGAGACTGTAGAGACTGTAGACTGTAGAGACTGTAGAGACTGTAGAGACTGTAGAGACTGTAGAGACTGTAAGACTGTAGAGACTGTAGAGACGTAGAGACTGTAGAGACTGTAGAGACTGTAGAGACTGTAGACTGTAGAGACTGTAGAGACTGTAGAGACTGTAGAGACTGTAGAGACTGTAGAGACTGTAGAGACTGTAGAGACTGTAGAGACTGTAGAGACTGTAGAGACTGTAGAGACTGTAGACTGTAGAGACTGTAGAGACTGTAGAGACTGTAGACTGTAGACTGTAGAGACTGTAGAGACTGTAGAGACTGTAGAGACTGTAGAGACTGTAGACTGTAGGACTGTAGAGACTGTAGAGACTGTAGACTGTAGAGACTGTAGAGACTGTAGACTGTAGAGACTGTAGAGACTGTAGACTGTAGAGACTGTAGACTGTAGACTGTAGAGACTGTAGAGACTGTAGACTGTAGACTGTAGAGACTGTAGAGACTGTAGACTGTAGAGACTGTAGAGACTGTAGACTGTAGAGACTGTAGAGACTGTAGAGACTGTAGAGACTGTAGAGACTGTAGAGACTGTAGACTGTAGAGACTGTAGAGACTGTAGACTGTAGAGACTGTAGAACTGTAGAACTGTAACTGTAAGACTGTAGAGACTGTAGGAATAATACTTCTTGATGACTGTTTTGAAGACTTTCAGCAGACTGTAGAACTGTAGAGACTGTAGTGTTATTACTGTAGAGGACTGTAAGACTGTCCAGCTCTACAGTCAGACTGTACAGTCCGACTCTACAGTACGACTCTACAGTCCGACTCTAAGTCCGACTCTACAGTCCGACTCTGAAGTCCGACTCTACAGTCCGACTCTACAGTCCGACTCTACAGTCCGACTCTACAGTCCGACTCTGAAGTCGACTCTACAGTCCGACTCTACAGTCGACTCTACAGTCTGACTCTACAGTCCGACTCTACAGTCCGACTCTACAGTCCGACTCTACAGTCCGACTCTACAGTCCGACTCTACAGTCCGACTCTACAGTCCGACTCTACAGTCCGACTCTACAGTCTGACTCTACAGTCTGACTCTACAGTCTGACTCTACAGTCCGACTCTACAGTCCGACTCTACAGTCCGACTCTACAGTCCGACTCTACAGTCCGACTCTACAGTCCGACTCTACAGTCCGACTCTACAGTCTGACTCTACAGTCCGACTCTACAGTCCGACTCTACAGTCTGACTCTAAAGTCCGACTCTACAGTCCGACTCTAAAGTCCGACTCTACAGTCCGACTCTACAGTCCGACTCTACAGTCTGACTCTACAGTCCGACTCTACAGTCGACTCTAAAGTCCGACTCTACAGTCCGACTCTACAGTCTGACTCTAGTGACTGTAGAGACTGTAGAGACTGTAGAGACTGTAGAGACTGTAGAGACTGTAGAGACTGTAGACTGTAGAGACTGTAGAGACTGTAGAGACTGTAGAGACTGTAGACTGTAGAGACTGTAGAGACTGTAGTGACTGTAGAGACTGTAGAGACTGTAGAGACTGTAGACTGTAGAGACTGTAGACTGTAGAGACTGTAGAGACTGTAGACTGTAGAGACTGTAGAGACTGTAGAGACTGTAGAGACTGTAGTGACTGTAGAGACTGTAGAGACTGTAGAGACTGTAGACTGTAGAGACTGTTAGAGACTGTAGAGACTGTAGAGACTGTAGAGACTGTAGAGACTGTAGAGACTGTAGACTGTAGAGACTGTAGAGACTGTAGTGACTGTAGAGACTGTAGACTGTAGAGACTGTAGAGACTGTGAGACTGTAGAGACTGTAGAGACTGTAGACTAGAGACTGTAGAGACTGTAGAGACTGTAGAGACTGTAGAGACTGTAGAGACTGTAGACTGTAGAGACTGTAGACTGTAGAGACTGTAGACTGTAGAGACTGTAGAGACTGTAGAGACTGTGAGACTGTAGAGACTGTAGAGACTGTAGAGACTGAGGACTGTAGAGACTGTAGAGACTGTAGAGACTGTAGACTGTAGAGACTGTAGACTGTAGAGACTGTAGAGACTGTAGACTGTAGAGACTGTAGAGACTGTAGAGACTGTAGAGACTGTAGAGACTGTAGACTGTAGAGACTGTAGAGACTGTAGTGACTGTAGAGACTGTAGTGACTGTAGAGACTGTAGAGACTGTAGAGACTGTAGAGACTGTAGAGACTGTAGAGACTGTAGAGACTGTAGAGACTGTAGAGACTGTAGAGACTGTAGAGACTGTAGAGACTGTAGAGACTGTAGACTGTAGAGACTGTAGAGACTGTAGACTGTAGAGACTGTAGAGACTGTAGAGACTGTAGACTGTAGAGACTGTAGAGACTGTAGAGACTGTAGAGACTGTAGAGACTGTAGAGACTGTAGAGACTGTAGACTGTAGAGACTGTAGAGACTGTAGAGACTGTAGAGACTGTAGAGACTGTAGAGACTGTAGAGACTGTAGAGACTGTAGACTGTAGAGACTGTAGAGACTGTAGAGACTGTAGAGACTGTAGAGACTGTAGAGACTGTAGAGACTGTAGACTGTAGAGACTGTAGAGACTGTAGAGACTGTAGAGACTGTAGAGACTGTAGAGACTGTAGAGACTGTAGACTGTAGAGACTGTAAGACTGTAGGACTGTAGAGACTGTAGAGACTGTAGTGACTGTAGAGACTGTAGAGACTGTAGAGACTGTAGACTGTAGAGACTGTAGAGACTGTAGAGACTGTAGACTGTAGAGACTGTAGAGACTGTAGAGACTGTAGGACTGTAGAGACTGTAGACTGTAGAGACTGTAGAGACTGTAGAGACTGTAGACTGTAGAGACTGTAGAGACTGTAGAGACTGTAGAGACTGTAGAGACTGTAGACTGTAGAGACTGTAGAGACTGTAGACTGTAGAGACTGTAGAGACTGTAGACTGTAGAGACTGTAGAGACTGTAGAGACTGTAGACTGTAGACTGTAGAGACTGTAGACTGTAGAGACTGTAGAGACTGTAGAGACTGTAGAGACTGTAGTGACTGTAGAGACTGTAGAGACTGTAGAGACTGTAGACTAGAGACTGTAGAGACTGTAGAGACTGTAGACTGTAGAGACTGTAGAGACTGTAGAGACTGTAGAGACTGTAGACTGTAGAGACTGTAGAGACTGTAGAGACTGTAGAGACTGTAGAGACTGTAGACTGTAGAGACTGTAGACTGTAGAGACTGTAGAGACTGTAGAGACTGTAGAGACTGTAGACTGTAGAGACTGTAGAGACTGTAGACTGTAGAGACTGTAGAGACTGTAGAGACTGTAGACTGTAGAGACTGTAGAGACTGTAGAGACTGTAGAGACTGTAGAGACTGTAGAGTAGACTGTAGAGACTGTAGACTGTAGTGACTGTAGAGACTGTAGAGACTGTAGACTGTAGAGACTGTAGAGACTGTAGAGACTGTAGAGACTGTTAGACTGTAGAGACTGTAGAGACTGTAGTGTAGAGACTGTAGAGACTGTAGGACTGTAGAGACTGTAGAGACTGTAGAGCTGTAGACTGTAGAGACTGTAGACTGTAGAGACTGTAGAGGACTGTAGAGACTGTAGAGACTGTAGTGAGACTGTAGAGACTGTAGAGACTGTAGAGACTGTAGACTGTAGAGACTGTAGAGACTGTAGAGACTGTAGAGACGTAGACTGTAGAGACTGTAGAGACTGTAGACTGTAGAGACTGTAGAGACTGTAGAGACTGTAGAGACTGTAGAGACTGTAGACTGTAGACTGTAGAGACTGTAGGACTGTAGAGACTGTAGAGACTGTAGAGACTGTAGAGACTGTAGAGACTGTAGAGACTGTAGAGACTGTTAGAGACTGTAGAGACTGTAGACTGTAGACTGTAGAGACTGTAGAGACTGTAGAGACTGTAGAGACTGTAGAGGACTGTAGAGACTGTAGACTGTAGAGACTGTAGAGACTGTAGACTGTAGAGACTGTAGAGACTGTAGAGACTGTAGAGACTGTAGACTGTAGAGACTGTAGAGACTGTAGACTGTAGAGACTGTAGAGACTGTAGAGACTGTAGACTGTAGAGACTGTAGAGACTGTAGAGACTGTAGAGACTGTAGAGACTGTAGACTGTAGAGACTGTAGAGACTGTAGAGACTGTAGACTGTAGAGACTGTAGAGACTGTAGACTGTAGAGACTGTAGAGACTGTAGATGTAGAGACTGTAGAGACTGTAGAGACTGTAGACTGTAGAGACTGTAGACTGTAGAGACTGTAGACTGTAGAGACTGTAGAGACTGTAGACTGTAGAGACTGTAGAGACTGTAGACTGTAGAGACTGTAGACTGTAGAGACTGTAGAGACTGTAGACTGTAGAGACTGTAGAGACTGTAGAGACTGTAGAGACTGTAGAGACTGTAGAGACTGTAGAGACTGTAGAGACTGTAGAGACTGTGAGACTGTAGAGACTGTAGACTGTAGAGACTGTAGAGACTGTAGTGACTGTAGACTGTAGAGACTGTAGAGACTGTAGACTGTAGAGACTGTAGAGACTGTAGAGACTGTAGACTGTAGAGACTGTAGACTGTAGAGACTGTAGAGACTGTAGACTGTAGAGACTGTAGAGACTGTAGAGACTGTTAGAGACTGTAGACTGTAGAGACTGTAGAGACTGTAGACTGTAGAGACTGTAGACTGTAGAGACTGTAGAGACTGTAGAGACTGTAGACTGTAGAGACTGTAGAGACTGTAGAGACTGTAGAGACTGTAGACTGTAGAGACTGTAGAGACTGTTAGAGACTGTAGAGACTGTAGAGACTGTAGAGACTGTAGACTGTAGAGACTGTAGAGACTGTAGACTGTAGACTGTAGAGACTGTAGAGACTGTAGACTGTAGAGACTGTAGAGACTGTAGAGACTGTAGAGACTGTAGAGACTGTAGAGACTGTAGAGACTGTAGAGACTGTAGAGACTGTAGAGACTGTAGAGACTGTAGAGACTGTAGAGACTGTAGAGACTGTAGAGACTGTAGAGACTGTAGAGTAGACTGTAGACTGTAGAGACTGTAGGACTGTAGAGACTGTAGAGACTGTAGACTGTAGAGACTGTAGAGACTGTAGACTGTAGAGACTGTAGAGACTGTAGAGACTGTAGACTGTAGAGACTGTAGAGACTGTAGAGACTGTAGACTGTAGAGACTGTAGAGACTGTAGAGACTGTAGACTGTAGAGACTGTAGAGACTGTAGAGACTGTAGACTGTAGAGACTGTAGAGACTGTAGAGACTGTGACTGTAGAGACTGTAGAGACTGTTAGAGACTGTAGAGACTGTAGACTGTAGAGACTGTAGAGACTGTAGAGACTGTAGTGACTGTAGAGACTGTAGAGTGTAGAGACTGTAGAGACTGTAGAGACTGTAGAGACTGTAGAGACTGTTAGAGACTGTAGAGACTGTAGAGACTGTAGAGACTGTAGAGACTGTAGAGACTGTAGAGACTGTAGAGACTGTAGAGACTGTAGAGACTGTAGACGTAGACTGTAGAGACTGTAGAGACTGTAGAGACTGTAGAGACTGTAGAGACTGTAGAGACTGTAGAGACTGTAGAGACTGTAGAGACTGTAGAGACTGTAGAGACTGTAGAGACTGTAGGACTGTAGAGACTGTAGAGACTGTAGAGACTGTAGAGACTGTAGAGACTGTAGAGACTGTAGAGACTGTAGAGACTGTTAGAGACTGTAGAGACTGTAGAGACTGTAGAGACTGTAGAGACTGTAGAGACTGTAGAGACTGTAGAGACTGTAGAGACTGTAGACTGTAGAGACTGTAGAGACTGTAGAGACTGTAGAGACTGTAGACTGTAGAGACTGTAGAGACTGTTAGAGACTGTAGAGACTGTAGAGACTGTAGAGACTGTAGACTGTAGAGACTGTTAGAGACTGTTAGAGACTGTAGAGACTGTAGAGACTGTAGAGACTGTAGACTGTAGAGACTGTAGAGACTGTAGAGACTGTAGAGACTGTTAGAGACTGTAGAGACTGTAGAGACTGTTAGAGACTGTAGAGACTGTTAGGACTGTAGAGACTGTAGACTGTAGAGACTGTAGAGACTGTTAGAGACTGTAGACTGTAGAGACTGTAGAGACTGTAGACTGTAGAGACTGTTAGAGACTGTAGAGACTGTAGAGACTGTTAGAGACTGTAGAGACTGTTAGAGACTGTAGAGACTGTAGAGACTGTTAGAGACTGTAGAGACTGTAGACTGTAGAGACTGTTAGAGACTGTAGAGACTGTAGAGACTGT